TCATAGCTCAGAGCAACCTCAAACTCCTGGACTTAAGCAATTCTCTTGCCTCCGCCTCCCAAGCAGCTGGGACCACAGGTGCCCGCCACAACACCCGGCTTTTTTTTGGTTGCAGCAGTCATTGTTGTTCAGCGGGCCCAGGTTGGATTTGAACCCACCACCTTAGGTGTACGTGGCTGGCGCCTTAGCCACTTGAGCCACAGGCACTGAGCCTTGAATGGAGATCTTTATGAAGAGGTCAAACAAATGGAAACTCAAGTCTGGGGTTCAGAGGAAAAACTAGATTTCAGGATTATCAGCACATAGGAAGGTGATGATCAGATTCTATGGGATAGAGGCAGGATTAGCAAAGTAGGTAAAAACTGGAAAAAAGAATCTTGGGGGCTGATGTGAAGGGAGAAAGAATGATCTATAAGTTAGGAAGAGGATGAGTACTGCCAATAGAGCCAAAGGGAGAGGTGAGAAGAGGTATTCCTAATATCAAATGCTACAGGATAAATTCATGGGTTGAAATCTGGGAAAGAATCTTGGGCAAGCTAGAGACTATGTAGACAACAGAATTACAAAATTATGGTCTTAGATACTCAGTTCTTACAAAAATAAGAGGTGCTTCTGATAGCTGAAAAAGGCCCCTGGCATCTAGCATAAGTCCTGGCACATCAGGACTTTCAAACGGAATCAATCATATTGTGTTCAAAGTAAAGGCTGAGGGTTAAGAGCACGACGGGTTTAAAAATTGGAAGAGCACAAGTAACTACCGATCGCTTCTCGGCCTTTTGGCTAAGATCAAGTGCAGAAGTAACTACCGCAAAAATAGTATCAATATAGTTGGGGGATTAGATTGCAGAAGTATGAATACTGAGAAGTAAAGTACCAACAGTGAGTAATTTTAGCTACTGGATGTTAATACTGAAAGGAGAAAAATGGGCAGTAACTTAATCAGTGATGCTCTTAGAAAAAATATTTTACAAATGGGGTGGTGGGACTTTCTTTTAAAGACTTTATGAATTCCTATGTGAAATTTTTGGTTCTGGTAAGCGAACTGTGACTGAACATACAAGGTATAGTTGTTCATCTGAGAAGATTCAACAGCCAGAAATAGATGGATATAGTCATTCACTGGTAAGAAAGCAGGAAAAGTAGGAAATTTTAGCAGAAGGATTAGGAGGACTGGCAATAAAAGGGCTTGGATCCTTGAAAGAGCTAAACATGCACAGAAAAAGACTACCACAAAGGCTGAGAAAAAGAATGAATTTTTTTTTTTGAGACAGAGCCTCAAGCTGTCCCCCTGGGTAGAGTGCTGTGACATCGCAGGTCACAGCAACCTCCAACTCCTGGGCTCAAGTGAATCTCCTGCCTCTGCCTCCCAAGTAGCTAGGACTATAGGCGCCCACCACAATGGCTGGCTATTTTTTGGTTGCAGCCATCATTGTTGTTTGGCGGGCCCAGGCTGGATTCAAACCTGCCACCTT